TTCTTAAACATGCAGGAGACACCCTGTCCAAAAGCACCGGTTAAGACTGAAACAGTATTGTTACTACAGAACGGAATAGACCCACTAATTATTTGTGGCCTCTGGATGCTACCATACTATTAAATAATTATAATAATTATAATTCATAAAGAAGATAACCTCAGTCTAAAGGAGCTTCTGCGTTTAAATGCACTCCACTCCTCTGAGCGCACTGGAAGGACTGAATGCTTCCCACAGAGAGGAGACACTCCGGGAAAGGACAAGTCACTTCCCTGGCAGCTCTCCTGCCCCCCTCCTCCGGCAGCACCAGCAGGGAGGGAGCGCAGCCGGCAGTCTCCAGCGTCCCCTGCCACCACAGTTGTCCCAAGGGGCTCGCTCCCGCGCCCCCCAGGAGGTGACGAGACCACCGGGAGCTGCAAGCTGGCAAGGAGCACTCTGCTCCTCTGACAGCACGCAGGCAGCCTGGCTGATGCCCGCCGTCCCCATGCGGGCACACGCTGGCAAAGCCCAGGTCCTGGCGATTACTCATACGTGTCCACCTCGTGCTCTGAACAGAAAAACGGCTCCACGGAGAGCCTTCCGATTTCATGGGGAGCAGCCAAGGCTGGACCCGGCTCTGCTCCTGCCTCAGCGGCTGCCGAAGCCCCATCGGCAGACACAAAGGCCTTGAACGCACAGCACGGCGCTGGGAGCTGCTGGGAACAACGTGGGCTGAATCCCTCCAGCGCAAGCAGCCGTATCCCTCGGCCGGCGTCAGCGCGACGTGCGGTACAGAAAGTGACATCCCTAGGATCGCGTGTGTGCGTGTGTCAACCAAACGCAGCCCTGGCTGATGGACACGTCTCCTAACGAGGGGGAGCAGAGCGCCAGCCAGCCGGGCTGAGCAAGGCAGGCTGCTCCCGGAGCGCAGCTCCCTCCCCGCATCTCCCGCACGGAGATGCTCGGCGAGCGGAGGTGCCACGGGCTGGGTGGCACAGCAAGGGCAGGCGGAGCAGGCAGTGAGGCCCCCCTCTGCCCAGCCCTTGGGGGGTCTCCGGCCCCTCTAACACAGCAGGTCTCAGCACAGATTTATCTCCCTCGGCTGCACGCCACGCCACCACCTCCCTCCAGCACGGCTATGTCCCCCAGAGAACCCCTCCATGGCAGCCAGCGGCTTGCTGGGTGCAGGTTGCCACCGGCCACCTCGGTGCGAGGGTGCCCGGTGTTGTAGGGTGCGCGGTGTGGGGTGCCACCA